AAACCTTAGGTTATTAAACATATTAAATGCCATATTCTGCACATCTTTGAAGATCATCTATTTATCTAACTATATCTGTGTATGACCTTGAAAACATACCTAACATGACTTTAAGTTTGACTATTATAGATGACCTACTATTAATCTATATTTTTAAATTATACATTTTAAATGAGATTCATAAGAACTATTGTTCAAACAAAAGTAGAAATATGCACACAGTATAACAAAATTAAAATGTATCAATAAACCAAAATTCATACCAATGTAAAATATTCAAGATTAATAATTGTTTTTTGGATTAAAGTAGACTCAATAATCTACCCTTTCTTCCTATCATTTCTGTATGCCCTCTTTTTCTTTCTATAATGAGATCCCTGGATCTAATCTCCTTTGTTCAGCTTTTTTTCTGACCATTACCAATAAGTTGTAACCTGTGGGGGCCAAAATATGCAGGCCTATATTCTACATAGTTTGGTGGTCAGGGAATCTGAGAAACTTACAAGGCACAGTTTACACAACAATAACCAGCCCCCCCTTAAGTGATAATATCTATAACCCATTTTTTGAGAATGTAGGTATAGTTTTCTAACTATTTCCTGTTGACTGGGGACACTGACATCTTTAAGGGAACCTTGAGAAAATCAGGATAATTGTTAAGTCCTGGCTATAGTATTCTCTAAGACTGGATCATTACAGACAGCAGGCAGGAAGCTTTAATGGATGCTGGATTATCTGGGCCATCTTTTTCATTGGTGTCTGGTCCCCTTTCTCTGAAAATATATAACCTTTTAAAAGTAATATACATATCTGTGTTAGTATAAGTGTAGATTGTGCACTGTACACAAGTCAGTTAAAGATTTTTTTTTGTTATGTGTTTGAGCAAGTAAAATATGCACCATGTGTCTTGTAGTTCTTTTAGATTTATTTTTTATGTTTGTAACCAGGATTTTCAGGGGGTCTTCCTCGATCAAACCTGATTTCCCTTAACCCAGAATGAACCCACAGCCTCTCATTTCTTTTGGATACCAAAGCAGAACCTCTCTCCCAAAGTAACATATCTCTTGACTTAAATTTTGAAGATCTTTTTTCTAAATATATAGGTTGGTTCAATCCAGTGATTTTCATAATCCAATGTCTCTTAGCAACCAAATAATTCAAAGACAACACAATAACATACAGGATCCAGACTCTGTATTTCCCATCTTTATGTGGCTTATTATATTTTTTATTACTCTATTTCTTCTTAAAGGACTTTTTCTACCCTTTTTCTTCTCTCTCTCAAGCCTACTTATATTTTTTAAACACACTGTAACCCGTTTAGAGTTTTTTTTTTTTTTCTGTCTGGATCTGTCTTCACTGCATATCTGTAACCTTTTCTGTCTGTATGAGCAAAAATCCTATACCAGCCATGCAGTGTGTTGGTGGAGCTGGCAGCAGCGGGGAGAAACCTCTCTGTTCTGCTCCTGGGAGAGACTGTGGGAACCTGCCCTACTGCTTAGCTCCCAGGCAACTCTTGGGATATGCATCTCTGCATTGTAGTTGGCATGAGACTGAGACTAGGAAGCTGCATCTGGCTCCATTTTTTGTGTGTTAGAACTTTTTTTAAAGCTTTTTTAGGTCTTATGTGGATCTATGACAGATGGTGGGCACCAAGTTGCTTTAAAATATCTTTACAAATATCCTGGCACACATATGAATACTTTCCTAAGGCGTGAGGGAAACAATGGCTGGATCATATGATATGTACCAATTTATAATACGGTTTTTGCAAGTTGAATTTTCAACAGTAGTTGATAAACTCATTCTGTCTACTACCTTTCGAGGCTTTGGTATTGGGTGAATCTAATGACAGAATGATAGGAGGTGATTATACATACAGGGCTAGGGATGCAGCTCAGTTGGTAGAGTGTTTGCCTAGTTTATATGCAGCCCTGGGTTCAGTTCTGCAACTCCACATTAAGTAGTCACAGTGGTGCACGCCTGTAATTCCAAAACTTGGCAGTTACAGAGGTAGAAAGACTAGAAGTTCAAGGTCATCCTTGTCAGGGTACAACATGTAACTCAGGTCAGTTGAAGAAAGAAAACACCCCCAAAATGAAATTTAAATCTTATGTGACAGCAGGAAGGTCCAAGCTCTGTGATGAACTAAACTCCAAACAGCTGAACAAAGGCATGTGTTTATTGAAAGTTACACAAATCTTAATTTACATGTCTTACTGAAGGAGAGCATCACAGGCTCCATGACTGCAGTCCTTTGTTATATATTGTGTGCAGTGCACAATAATACAAGAGCCTAAGGTGTGCATGGTGGCTTGTGACCAAAGTCATGGGATGGCCGCAAAGCCCCTTCAGCAAAACAGTTCCACAGAGCACAGGAAATGACACTGTTTTCTACAAGGAATCTTCAAGATCAAAGTATCTCTAAAAACAGCTGTTCTGTTCTAAGACCTACTGCATGATTCATGACCCCAGGCTGCAGCGGGTGGAAGACAGACAGATACAGCACTGGAGAGAGCTTGGGTATAGAGTTTATTTAGTGGGTATTGGGAATGGTATATGAGTAAAGGGTTATTGGGGGTGGGAAGGGGAGAGAGCTATGAGGAGACTGAGAAAGAGTGGAAAGAGAGAGGGGAGGGAGATGCAGAGACTAGGAAATCCACTTGCCTCTGAGGGAAGGGAGAGATTGGGAGTGGGAGGGGCTTGTCTCTTAAAGGGACAGGTGACAGGCCAGGCCAGCAGCTTTATTTTTACAACATCTACCCCATACAGTGATTCTACTAAATTCCTACAACAATCCTTGGCTACATAGTGGGCTCAGTGCCAGCGTAGACAAATGAAATCCTGTCTTTGGGGGAAAATAAGTCTGCAAATAGTGTGCCTTTTGCCGAGTCTGATGCCCTGGGTTCAGTTCCTGTGACCCGCATGTTGGGATGAGAGAACTGGCACTCCCACAGGTTATCTCTAACCTGCACTCATGAACAAAATAAAAATATAATGTAAGAAGTATACATACATTTTGAAAGTATAGAGTAGCAAGTCTTCATGGGATAGATTTTTTGAATGCACACTTTTATTTAAGCAGAGTTCCCATCTGATTAGGAAGTAGGACATCACCAGCCCTCCAGAAGTCCTATTCTTCTCTACTTGCTCTCTGCCTCTCCCAAAACTAGTCTTTGTCTTCTGTATCTGTAGATTAATTTTGCTCATACTCTGTTATATATAAGCAGAATCAGAGAATGTCTGTCTTTTTTGTTAGTTCCTTTTACTTGGCATTATATTTCATATGTTCCTGAAGGTATTATGTAATAATATGTGGTATAAATAACGTGAAATTCACCCATGTTGCTGTATGTAGTTGAGAGTTGTTCATTATTATTTTCCTTTTAAAATTTTAATGTGAGAAGTCAGATGAGGTGGGATCTGTGATCTTAGTACTCAAGAGGCTAAGACAACAGGAGCATGAATTTCAGTCCATCCTGAGCTACATAGTGAATCCAAGCCAGCCTGTGGTGCATAGAAGACCCAACTACAAACAAACAAACAAAAAAACTCACTTATTTTTTTCTTCATTGTAGGCAGAGCCTATTCCATTACTGAGTACTGAGTTGTTTTCAAAGTAAGGTTATTATGAACAGGGCATTTTGTGTCTTTCAGTGTACATCTGCTGTGTGCTTCTTTTAGGTGTATCCCTAGTAGTAAAATTGCAGGCCGGTAGGTTATTGTGCATCCCACTAGAACTGATGCTGACTTTCCAAAGTGGTTGTATCAGTCTGTACTTCCAGCTGCAGTTGGTGAAAGTACACATCTAGACAGGAAGCTTCCCTAGAGAAAAAGGGAATAGTTCATAATAAAAATAGCTAGGGGAGATAGCACAGGCCTTTAATCCTAGTACTTGGGATGCAGAGGCAGACAGATCTCTGTGAGTTCAATGCCTGCCTGGTCTACATAACAAGTTCCAGGCCTGTCTCAAGTAAAATAAATAAAATGCAATGTCATATAAAGTATAGTGTACTCAGATTTTTCTTTGGGTTCCCAGCTCACAGATAGCATGGAGACTTATTAAGAAATTATGAAAGTTTGTCCTTAGCATAGGCTTGTTCTCAACTAGCTCTCTCTCTCTCTCTCTCTTTGTTTTTTGTTTTGTTTTGTTTTTTTTTTGGTTCTTCAAGACGGGGTTTCTCTGTAGCTTTGGAGCCTGTCCTGGAACTAGCTTTTGTAGACCAGGCTGGTCTCAAACTCACAGAGATCCTCCTGCCTCTGCCTGCCAAGTGCTGGGATTAAAGGCGCGCACCACCACTGCCTGGCTCTCAACTAGCTCTTATAACTTCTATTCATCTACATCCTGCCATGTCGCCTTACCTCTCTTCTATCCTGCACTGTCTGTTTCCTCTCCACGTCTTACTGACTAATCCACATGCCTAGATTTCTCCTCCCAGTTTCTCTCACTCTGCCTGCAAGTCCCGCCAATTCTCTTCTGCCTAGCTATTGGCCATTTAGCTCTTTATTATGCCAATCAGAAAGCATCATAGGCAGACACATCTTTGCAGTATAAATGAATATTCCTCAACAGTATAGGTAGTATTTGTTCCATAGTTCCACCAAGGAAGATTCTAATGAGGAAAGTAGAGTTAGTTATTATCTGACTGCTTTAAGCAGTTATAAGACTGGTACAGTTTCTTGGGTATTTCTTTCCTTACCCAGCCTTACTTTCTCAGGACCTCCCCTGTGTAGCAAGTCTTTCTACCACCAACTCCCAAATAATGACACGAAGACTTCTTATGAAAGCTTGACTTTAACTTAGACTTGTTTCTAGTTAGCTCTTACAACTGAAATTAACCCAATTTTTATGAATCTATGTGTTAACACATGGCTTGTGGCTTTTACCTCTCCTTGTGCATCTCCTGCTCCCTCTGCATCCAGCTTGGCGACTCCACCTTTCTTCTCCTTCTAGTCCTTTGTGGCCCAGAAGTCCCACCTAACCTCTTCATGCCTAGCTGTTGGCCATTCAGCTCTTTATTAACCCAATCACAGTGACACATCTTCACACCGTGTAAAGGAATATTCTGAAACACCCTGCCTCTAGAGCAGCCTTGAGGAAGACTGGCGGTATCCTGCAGTACTTCACACCATGGCTGAAGGAATGATAGTCTTACTCCTTGGCATTCCATTCTTCCTCATGTGAGATAGATACAGTGCTGTGAATACCTGTAACCCCAGCCACTCAGGAGGCTGCACTTGCTTTCCTTGTGCTGACATTTGTGGCTGATAAGGATTCCTGCCCAGATCTTGGTCCCTGTTGACTCTCTTGCTGATCCTGCATCACCACTTAGTACCTCTGATTTTCAAACAACATTAATATTTTCATTCAGCAAATAACTGATCGTCTTGTCTTGACCTTTTTCCAGGCACTGTGATAGACAGGAAATGGTGTACTGAGGGAAGTGAAAGTGGAATTACAGAATGAGCTTGTCCTGCCTGGTCTGTGACTTGATGAGGTGGCAATGAGCCACTTAGCTTGCTAGACACATGGAGAAGCCAAAATCATGTCTACAAACTAGTATTTTGCAGTGAGAGAATGGGAAATGGGGTCGGTACTTCCAAATGTTGAAAGATATCCTAGCTTATGGAGCTTTGGGAATCATTAGTGGCTGGTACAGACCTTCGAGACTCTTAGGTAATTAAAAATATGTTAATTGAAGTCCAATAGGAACTGTGGGTCATGCTGATTTTTGGTTTTTCAAAACAGGGTTTCTCTGTGGAACAGCCTTAGCTGTCCTGGAACTGGCTCTGTAGACCAGGCTGGCCTCGAACTCAGAGAGATCCTCCTGCCTCTGCCTCCCGAGTGCTGGGATTAAAGGTGTGCACCTCCACTACCTGGTCATGATGACTTTCTATATGAATGATTCATTTTATTTTTCTCAGAAATAAGAACAAGTATGATAAGGGATGGTTCGAATCAGTCTCATCAGTGTATATAAGCTGTTGAGATTATAAATCAGAAATCAAAACATTTGGTCACCAGAAAAATAATTTGTATTAATAAGAAATGATTTTTTTTCTTGATGCTGGGGATTGAAACCAGGACTCTACCAGTGACTACTCCCTAGTCCTGATGTTTTGAGACTTTATCTCACTATATAACCCAGGCTGACAACTCAAACTGCCAAAGTGCTCTTGTCTCAGCCTCCCTGGTGCTGGCATTATGTCATGCATTAGCATGCTTGGCTCTGTCATCTGTTTCTGAATGAACAGAGAATCCAGAGGTACTGGTTCTTGGTGATATGAGAGTAATGGCTCATTTTCTGAACCCCACAGCACAAGCACCAGAGGTTCAGGAGGAGTTTTTGTATCATACAGCTAGGGTGTGTGTTTATTGTTTCAGAAATCGATGGTGTTCAGCGACGTGTCCCTGGACTTCTCTCAGGAGGAGTGGGAGTGCCTGGGCCCTGCTCAGAGGGACTTGTACAAAGATGTGATGCTGGAGACCTACAACAACCTGCTTTCAGTGGGTAAGAGCGCCCGTACCAACAACTCAGCCTTCTCTGCAGTGTCTGCTCCTTCCTCAGTGAATTTCTCAGCTGCTTTTCAACTTTGCCACCTGAATTCCTGCTCCTTGTTTGCACATGGTTTCAGCTGGGCTGAAAAAGAAGCCCGGGAAGCAGGCCGCTCCAGTGGGCCGTGGCTGAAGCTTCATCTGCGTCTTTGGCTGTTCCTGTCATGGCATCTCTTGCTTGGTGATCGAGGGATTGGATCTGATTCCCACTGCATAACAATGTCCCATATCTTTTCTTGTAAGCAGGACTTCACATCCCCAAGCCTCAGGTGATCTCTTTATTGGAGCAAGGCAAAGAGCCCTGGATGATTGGCAAAGAGCTTACAAGAGGCCTGTGCTCAGGTAAGTGAGAAAGAAAGACTCAGCAGCGTAGTGCCTGCAGGGGTAACTCGCTGCTGATCGAGGAAACAGCACCTGTGAGATTTATTTTGAAAGCGTCTGCCAAGAAAGCTATGTCTAGTGAGAAAACCAAGTTCTTTAAAAAAAAAATTATTTTTAGTTGCATATATTTGTTTTTTGTTGTATGAGGTTAGTGTGAGGAGATCAAAGGACAGCTTCCTGGAGTCGGCTCTCTGCCCATCATGTAGGTCCTGGGGATCGGACTCAGGTCACAAGCTTTTCGTTGTTTTTACATAGGTCTGATTACATAACTTACATCTCAGTCTTTCCTCCATCCAGAGGTCCAATAGCTAAACCCCAGCCTTCTAATAAACCGAGTGTGTGGTGTGTGTACAGATGTGGACTGCTGCCCGCAGAGGGCAGAAAAGTCCGTCCATCTGGACCAACAGTCACAGGTCAGGTGTGAGCTGCCCTGTGGCTGTTGGGAACCGAGTGTGGGTCCTCTGCTAGACTTAACTACCAGCCCGTCCTTCCAGAACCAGTCCTGAGGCTCTCTCTCTGAGACTTATCAGTGAACTGGCTCAGTAGCAGTACAAAGATACTGCTGTCATTCAGAGAGGCCCGGAGCTTTGAAGCTCTGTGGCAGAAAACCAGGACAAAGACTAATATGCTACTATATGTTTCTCATTATCCTGGCTGTAGGCAGAGTTCTCTGTCCCGTCTGCTAGCTCCCAAGTAACCACCCAGAGACTTATTACTTATGAAAGCTCACCAATAGCTTAGACTTGTTTCTAACTAGTTCTTCTAACTTAAATTAGCCCATTTCTATTCATCTATTTCTTTTATGTGGCTTGATTACTTTACTTTGTAAATGCCCATGCTGCTTGTTCTGCATCCCAGCGTCTCCTCCCTTCGTCTTCCTGGTGTCCTCTCTGTCCCCTAGTTCCTGCCTAACTATTTTTCATTTTTATTAAACCAAACAGAGTGGCATATCTTCACAGTGTACAAAAAGATTATTCCACAATATTTCCCCTTTTTTTTTTATCTAAATTGATTGAGACAAGACCAATCCCAGAATTCAAAATCAGCCAGTTCCATAGTAAGACTTCATCTCAGGGGACATTCCTTTAATCCTAGCACTTGGGAGGTAGAGGATCTCTGAGTTCAAGGCCAGCTGGAGCTAGATAATGAGACCTTGCTTTAATATCTAAACCCCAAACAAACAAAAGACCAAATTTGTTATTTATTATGCTATGAAATATCCAGGAGTTTGCCATGGATATAGCTAAATATATAGTAGATATATACACTGTCTCTAAAAATATTTACATTATGATTCATAACAGTAACAAAATGGCAGTTATGAAACAGCAATGAAAATAATTTTATGGTGGGGTCACCACGACATGAGGAGCTGTATTAAAGCTGCAGCGTGAGGAAGGCTGAGAAGCTCTGTGCTAGACAGATCTCCTTACGCGCCTGTGATAATCACCTCTAGGTAGTAGATGCTCTTTCGTTTTAGTTTTTTTCCATTTCCATTATAAAAGTTTTCAGTTTTTCCAAACAGGAAGGGAAAAGAACATTTTCTATTTTCTTGCCTTTCAGCTCTGGAGTCAATGTGTGAAAGCAAGTTACTATCTCTAAAGAAGGAAGTCTATGAAATAGAATCGTGCCAGAGGGAGTTAATGGGACTTAAGAAGCATGGCCTTGAGTACTCCAGTTTCAGAAATGTTCTGGAATGTGGAAGCCAATTGCAATATCAAAATGATCATTTAAGCCAAGAAGTACTCAGTCGTGAGTACATGCCCACATTTGTTCAACAGACTTTTCTTACCCTACAACAAATTATTAATAATGATGAGAAGCCCTATGAATGTAAGAAATGTAGGAAGGTCTTTACTCAGAACTCACAGTTTATTCAACATCAGAGACTTCATATTGGTGAAAAGTCTTACGAATGTAAAGAGTGTGGGAAATTCTTCAGTTGTGGTTCACATGTTACTCGTCATCTGAAAATTCACACTGGTGAGAAACCATTTGAGTGTAAAGACTGTGGGAAGGCCTTCAGTTGTAGCTCATACCTTTCTCAGCACCAGAGGATACACACTGGTAAGAAACCTTATGAGTGTAAGGAATGTGGAAAAGCCTTTAGCTATTGTTCAAATCTTATCGACCATCAGCGAATTCACACTGGTGAAAAACCTTATGCATGTAAAGTATGTGGGAAAGCTTTTACAAAGAGCTCACAACTTTTCCAACACGTGCGAGTTCATACAGGTGAGAAACCTTATGAATGTAAGGAATGTGGCAAAGCCTTTACTCAGAGCTCAAAGCTTGTTCAGCATCAGAGAACCCACACTGGGGAGAAACCCTATGAGTGCAAGGAGTGTGGGAAGGCCTTTAGTAGTGGCTCAGCGCTTACAAACCATCAGAGAATCCACACCGGGGAGAAACCTTATGAGTGTAAGGAGTGTGGGAAGGCCTTCACTCAGAGCTCACAACTTCGACAGCATCAAAGAATTCATGCTGGCGAGAAGCCTTTCGAATGCCTTGAATGTGGGAAGGCCTTTACCCAGAACTCACAGCTTTTTCAACATCAGAGAGTCCACTCAGATGAAAAACCTTATGAATGTAATAAATGTGGCAAGGCCTTTAATAAGTGCTCAAACCTTACCCGCCACCTGAGAATTCATAGTGGGGACAAGCCCTATAGCTGTAAGGAATGTGGGAAGACCTTCAGTAGTGACTCGGACCTTGCTCGCCACCAGGAAATTCATGCTAATGAATGATAAAAATTCATATTTGAGAGTTACTTTCTTGACGTGGTTGATTAGGTATTTATATTTTCAATCATAACTGTAGGTTAGGGATTTCGAGTCTACATTTGCTCTCTTCTCCCACCCCAGTGCTAGGTGCCTAATCGTCCTTTATTTCTCCATTGCTGGGCTTTGTCATACCGTTGTTTATATTTTCTTATAGTTTTAGGACTGTCTTTTATCATTTTCTAAACTGTTTTTGTTGTTTGCACTAATATCACAGTGTTTTAATTGTGTAACCTGTAGTCATTTTAAGTTCCTTGTAGAATTCCAGTGTTGGTTTGAGGCATGTCAGTCTTTTTGCGGTATTTCATGAGCTTTACTTTTTATTGTAAGTGGAAAAAAAATGAGAAAACTAGAAAACCCAAAGCTGAACCATCGATTGAACTGCTGTATTGATTGTAACTAACTCTGCTGGGCTTCACTTCTAAGGACGGGCAGTCATAGATTTGTGTTCTTCCTTCATCTGCTTTTATCATGCTAGAAACATAATAATTGCTTTTCCAGCAATGCAAAGTATCTTTTAAATGACTATTATTCATGTTATGGTTGCTTCTAAATTTTTGCATTTATAAAAGAAGTCTCCATTAATATGACCACAAACTTATGTTTGGATGTTTGATGTTTTATTTCTCTGAAAATCAAAAGCATTTTTTTAATGCTATGTTTATTCACCATTATTATGCTCTTCCTTTTCATTAGCCCTAATCCTAATGTCATGCCAGAAAGTGTTTGCAAAGTGTTATTTTCTCACACATGGTGAGCAGTTGTTCTTTATCTTACATGTGCAGTCATGCGTATGCAGTGGTTTGCAGCGAACACTCGAACTCAACTATAAAGACTGTACATCTACTCCTAGCATACAAGTATTGGCCTAATGAAAGGTTTCTCTGTTATCATTAGCATAGTGTGTCATAATTTTCTTTATAATTCCTGGAAGGTGTGTGTGTAGTGCTGGGGATAGACACCAGGGCCTTATATGTGCTAGGCAAGCACTGTATCACTGAGCTATGGTCCAGCCCCTCACTCATGAATTCTAGGCAAGTGTTTTATTGTTAGCCCACTTCTCCTAGCTTCTGGAATGTACTTTTTTGTTTTGTTGAGATGGGTTTCTCTGTATAACAATCCTGGCTGCCCTAGAACTTGCTTTGTAGACAAGGCTGGTCTGAAACTCACTGAAATCTGCCTGCTTCTACCTCCCAAGTGCTGGGATTAAAGGTGTGCACCTTTAATCCTGGCCTTGGGATGTACTTTAATCTGCCATTTACCTTTATCAAAACTGAAGGATTTGTGATAGAAAAATAAATAGTTATATGAAATAAAGCCTTTCCTCTACCACTTGTTGAATTACAAGTGGAAAACAGGTATGTGTGGTAGTCTTTATTTAGACTTAATTCTCATTCATTCTCTCTTCTCTCTCTCTCTCAGACAATGTTTTACTTTGTAGCTGTGGCTGGTCTGGAACTCACTATGTAGAGCAGGCTATCCTGAAAAACAAAGATCTGCCTGCTTCTGCCTCCTAAGTTCTGGAATTAAAACTATGGGCACTACACCCAGCTTCAGACTTAATTCTTCATATTGTTCAAATAATGTCAGTCTGAAATTCTGTAAGGTTTTGGCAGATAGTTGAAGTCACAGCTGTCAAAACAGCAGGAAGAGATGACATTGCTTTTCTTTATTGCCCCAAAGCAGAAAACATACAAGTATTGTGTGGCAGTATTCCTGGAAGAAGCAGGAGCAAGCATCTATTCACTTTTGATAGGAAACCAGTGACAGCCAAAGTGAGGATGTTATCGAAGTCGGCTTGGTGAACCAGAGTTTTATTGCAGTTTCATGCAGGAGTGTGTGTGTGGGATTAACTACAAGAGCAGAAGTAACTTAGAGATAGCTGCATCCCAAGACGCCCATCCCAGGATGGGTGAATCAGTTGGACATTACCTCTTCCAGGCTGCTCAGTTAAGGTCCGTCCTTACTGCTTGTATAACCTTGGAAAAGGATGGAGCTGATAAGTCTACTCAGTTTCAAAGATTTCTTAAAGTTTTTGGGTTGTGTACTTCCTGATCTGTAAGGAGCATTCCTGCACAGAAGAACATTTCATCTCCCTATAGAACATCCTCCAAGATGGAATGTTTTATCGCAAAAGATGCTGCTTTGCAGCAAGTCATATTCTTCGACAAGAATGGGAAGGCACAGAGACAGTAACAATACGATTAAATATCTGGGTATTAAAATAATTTTATTTTGGATACAAGTTAAAGAAATGAATCCCTATAGAAGTGTTAATCTAATCTTATCAATAAAAACTAGGAGTCAGAAACTGGAGTAAAAACCTGAAAGATGAGAGAAGCAGAAGAACAGTCACAGTTCCTATCTTTTCTGTTCCTTCATCCAAAAGGGCCAAGATTCTGTCTCAGCCCTGCCTGACCACTTCCTAGTCCTCTCTCTACAGTCCTCCAAACCTCTATGGTCAGCTAGTGACTGGCTCCGCCCTCTAACTGCAAGCGAGCTTTATTTGTCAAAACAATGAAAATATCACACAACACCCTATTCTACATCTTATCCCATAATAAAGGGAATTGGAGGAGGATGATGTAGTTATATAAAATGTGATTAGATGGTTCTGGTGGCTCATACCTGTAGTGCCTAGAGATGCTGATGGAGGGTGATTGGGAGCTTGATATCATGGTGATCTGTGTACCCTGTCTCTAATAACATGATTTTAAAGAAATCTTTTAGAATACTCAACATTTAACGTTTCCACCTTGTCCTGCCAGCTTTAGGACTTTTGAATTGGTGAATCCAGTTGACCCTGTTTACTTAAAATGGAATTCATGTGCACACATCAGGCCCTAGAAGAAAGACATGTCCAAGTGAACTGCTGCTAACTGGAGATTACCCTCTGCTTGGTTTTGCTTTCTATAATACAGGTAGTTACTTTTCTAAAAGTTCATTTAAGGGGCTGGAGAGATTGCTCAGCAGTTAAAAGCACTTACTGCTCTTGCAGAGAACTTAGGTTTGGTTCCCAGCACCCACAAGACAGTTTCTAACACCTGGTGCATATACGTGCAGGCAGGCAAAACACTCAGACACACAAATAAGTTAAGACCTCACTTAAAACAAAACCCAACAACTTTGAAGATGCAACAATTGAAAACCCCACACTCACGCACCCCTTAAATACAAGCCCTGAAACAAAAGACCCAAGGCAGTAACACGGACTGAAAAGGTCACTCTTTAAGTAAGACAGTCAGGTGGTGGTGGTTCACGCCTTTAATCCCGGCACTCAGGCGGCAGAGGCTGAAGATCTGAGTTCGAAGCCAGTCTGGTCTACAGAGTGAGTTCCAGGACAGCCAAGGCAGCTTAGAGAAACCTTGGGGGGGGGGGGGGCGGGGAGGCAGGCACAAAAACAGAAAATAACAACAAAGTAAGTAAGAAAGTCACCCCATACACCCGCAGTGACTTGCAGTTTGGCAGGATACGCTCGAAGTTGTCAAGCAACAGATTTCAAATTCCGAAGCTCAGTAAACTGACAGAAGCCAACCCCCGTTGGTGCGCACGCGCAATGGTGTGCAGCCATGGTCATGCATAAAGAGCACACGCAGACATTCCAATCACTGTCACGCCCTCGCTGAACCTTACCATCGTCTCACACAAACCCACCCACACCAGGGAACTCGCCTGGAGCGGCTAACAGGTCCCTGCGCGCTCGCACTTGCCGCGCCTCTTGAAGCGCAGGCACAAAGTGGAAAGGGTTGCCCCGCAAAGAACTCTGGGACTGGTAGTTCTTGGGGGTCGGACGGCCTCCAGCTGAGAATCTAGAGTGCACCGTCGCCCTCTGGCTGGGCACGCGGTGACGTCACGGCCTGGGTCACAGAACCCGTTTCCACGCCCGTGGGGCGGGGAGGTGAGGGCCAGTGGAGAAGGAGCGTGGCTAACGGTGCAGGTACCCGGTGAACCCCGCGCGCGAGAGTATGTGTGTGCGTACCCGGTGGACACCGCGCACGCGAGAGAGTGTGTGTGTGTTTACCCGGTGGACACTGCGAGAGAGTGTGTGTGTGTGTACCTGGTGGACACCGCGCGAGAGAGTATGTGTTTGTGCGTGCGTGTGTGTGCGTGTGTACCCAATGGATACCGCGAGACAGGGTGTGGCGTGTGTGTACTCGGTGGACACCTCGAGACGGTGTGTGTGTGTGTGTGTGTGTGTGTGTGTGTGTGTGTGTGTGTGGTTTTTCGAAACAGGGTTTCTTCATAGCCTGTCCTGGATTGTAGACCAGGCTAGCCTCGAACTCACAGAGGTCTGCCTGCAGCTGCCTTCCGAGTGCTGGGATAAAAGGTGTGCGTCACCCCCACCCCAACCTGGCGTAGCCTGCAGCTCTTTATTTAGGGGTGAGGTCTTGTGAAATTTTCCACGTCCACTTGTCACGCTAACAGAGATGAGAAAGACCAGCTTTTAAATCATACAGCACTTGGACCTTAGAAGTTCGAACTGGCAGCTGGAGAGACAGCTCAGTGGTTAAGAGCATTTGTTCTTAGAGCATTCAAGCTTGATTCCCACATGGCACTCAAAACATAAACTCCAGGGCTGGAGAGATGGCTCAGTGGTTAAGAGCACTGACTGCTCTTCCAGAGATCGTGAGTTCAATTCCCAGCAACCACATGTGGCTCACAGCCCATCTCTAATAAGACCTGGCATGGAAGGAATGCTGTATACAAAATAAATAAATAACTTTAAAAAAAAACACGTAAACTCCAGTCCTAGTGCACCCAGACAGCCCTTTTCTGGTCTTGGGTACTGTGTGGAGATTATGCACAGGTATGCATGGAGGCAAAGTATCCACACACAGAAGTTTTTAATATCTTCTTAAAGTCTTTGAATATCAATTTTAGGAATTAGTAAAATGAAGATAGTAGTACCTACTAATATTCCTTTAAAAATGCTGGCGTGTACCCGGCAGGCTTGCAGTGCAGCCGCTAGTCTGGCAGAGACAGCCGTGGGTCCCTGCAAGATCCCCAGGGGCCATGTGAACAGGTGGCAAGCTCACAGAGCAGCGGGAGCGAGTCCTGGGAGAGCGACTGGCTGTGGGCAGGCAGGCACATGGCAGGCAGGTAGGAGCCAGAGACATGGACATGTAGAATGGATTGAAATATTTATTCAGGGGGTTATGGAGGAAAAGGGGACGGGGCAGAGAGAGAAAGGGAGAAGGAGAAGGAGAGAAAGAAAGACAGAAATAGAAGAAGGGAGAGAGAAAGACAGAAACACATGTGTACACGCCAAGAGAGAGAACAGAAAGAGGCCAAGATGACAACGAGAGGTCAGAAGTCGTTGGGAGTGTGGTTTGCCCCTTAAAGGGACCAGAGATCAAAAGGAATAACACCTACCATTTAAGTATGCGAGGCTCGAATGAAGCTAACATGAGCAACATGAAAAATGTCGCTATGTACATTACAGGTTACACAATGTGGCTTATATCCATTGATACAGTCATTTCTCAGCACCTATAGTATTGCTGGCATTGTTCTCGCCCTGGAATACATCAGGGAGCCAGACAAACCCTAACTATCTTAGATCTTGCCATCCTGTGTGGGGAGACAAGAAATAAAATGTGTGGGGTAAATGGTAAGAATAACAATAAATCAGGATCAGGACTGAGGTTAGAGAAATGGCTCAGCAGTTTATGAGTCCTTGCCTCTTCTCCAGAGGACCTGGGTTGGGTTCCCAACATCCATGTCAGGTGCCCCACAGTTCTGTAATTCCAGCTTCAAAGGATCTTATACCCATTTCTGGCCTCTGTGGGCACCTACACACATGTACCAGACAAACAGACACATGAATACATACATGATACTAAAAGTATTAAAATTTGCAAACTACAACAAAGATCAGGCTATAATTTCTCTCTGTGTAGGCTTAGCTGCCATGGACCCACTCTATAGACCAGGCTGGCCTCAAAATCACAGCAATCTGCCTTCCTCTGCCTCCCAAGTGCTGGAATTAAAGGCATGCGCCAACCACCATCTGGCTGATTCCCTACCCTTTTTATTGACCTGTCTTGTTCCTATCTTTTCCTTGTTTAATAACTATAAGATCTTTGCCATGTTAATTTGGATCACTATCCCATGCTGTCTGGCAAAATTTTCTGCTTTCCCTATCTGGCACAGTAACTGATAACAACACTTGGCTTCAGGATACTTGAATTGTTCATAGGGATAAAAGGACTAAATAATTTTAATTTCAGTTAATTTAAATTTGTCATGGGGATGGAGACATTGCTCAGAGGTCAAGAGCACTGTTTGCTCTTCCAGAGGACCCAGGTTTGATTCCTAGCACCCACATTGGTACTAAGAACTGTCTGTAACTCCAATTC